AGAGTAACAACAAAAACAATGCAAAAAAAATTTAGATAATTTTATTAGAAACAACTTTTGTATTTAATTTTTTTTTGCAGCCCTCGTAGATTTCGAGATAAGGTATAGGCCCCTCTTAAACGGGCCACCCTGTACAACTCGTGCAATGGAAATATATTTTCAATTTTTGACAAATTTGCACTCATGCGTTTTTAACAGAAGTTGGCACTGAAAAAGCACTGCTCCTTTTTAACTAAAAATGCATCCGGGCAAATTTCCCAAAAATTATCGACAATTTCCATTGCACTCGACATTTAGAATTTCATACATCTGTCAAAACTGACATTCCAACAATAAACTGACATGTTTTGATTGTTGATTTACGTTTTATGCGTGTATCAAACGTCAAATTATTGAAGCAATGTCAAAAAAGAGCGAATCTCGCGCAAGTGAGAATTAGGCTTCACGCGATAATTGGCGCGACACTGGTGTTTTAACATTTTTTGACAAAAAATTTAAATTTTTGATTCATGAAATTCTCTCATAAAAGCTCTTTTCGGGTCCGAAAAAAGGACGGTTCTAGAACGGTTCAAAACAATCGCACAGTTCATCAATCAACTAAATGACAACGGTTCAGCTATCACAAACTTCAATAATAAACTGTGCGATTGTTTTGAACCGTTCTAGAACCGTCCTTTTTTCAAACCCAAAAATAGCTAAAATACAACTCAAGCAATGGAATTTTTAATCTTGGATTAATTTCCAAGCTGGTGTCAAATGATAGTTCATGGAAAACTCAGATAAGAATGTATGATCGGTTTAGCTCTAAAATCAACCGTTGAGGTTTTAAAGCCTGTCAAAGTTGCAAAAAAGTTAATTTTCAACTCTTATTATTTCCGAAACAGTTGAAGATAGGTATAGGATATGATACATTAAATAAGTTCAGAATGTAACGTAGAAATAAGAAATGAAATTAAAAAAAATCCTGTACAGTTCACACCCGGTAGAAGTGAAACCTTCATCGAACTGCATGCATTACACACATACTAACATACACAGTGGCGTCCCCCCCCTCCAAAAGACTTGAGAAAGAACGCAAATAAATATAGTTTGAAAAAACTAAAATACACGCTGGGGTGCTTTGTTCCACATTTTTCATACATTGAGCACCCCACGCTTTTTTGACAATAATTCTAATATTTTTTGTTCATTAATATTTTCTGTTTCTATTAAAAATGATTTTTCACTTTTTAGTTCAAATTACTATAAAAGCGTGTTTTTTAGTTTTTTTAAAATACATTTATTTTTCACTTTTTAGTTCGATGTATTATAATAGCGTGTCAGCCCCAGAGATTTCCAGACTTTTCGAGACATTATCCAGACTTATTCAGAGCTTCCCAGAGTTTTCCAGATTCCATCCAGATTTATCCAGACTTGTACAGACTGATCCGGATTCTGGAAAATGATCCCCAGGTCTTTTGGGACCTTTTCCAGAATTTTTCCGACCCCTTCAAGAAATTTCCAGGCCTTTTCCAGACGTTTCCAGAGATTTCCAGACATTATCCAGACTTATCCAGAGTTTTCCAGACTTCATCCAGATTAATCCAGACTTTATCCAGATTTGTTCAGACTGATCCGGATTCTGGAAAATGATCCCCAGGTCTTTTGGGACCTTTTCCAGAATTTTTCCGACCCCTTCAAGAAATTTCCAGGCCTTTTCCAGACGTTTCCAGAGATTTCCAGACATTATCCAGACTTATCCAGAGTTTTCCAGACTTCATCCAGATTAATCCAGACTTTATCCAGATTTGTTCAGACTGATCCGGATTCTGGAAAATGATCCCCAGGTCTATTGGGACCTTTTTCAGAATTTTTCCAACCCTTTCCAGAAATTTCCAAGTCTTTTCCAGATGTTTCCAAACTTTTCCAGACAATATCCAGACTTATCCAGAGTTTTACAGACTTAATCCAGATTTATCCAGACCTTATCCAGACTTGTACAGACTGATCCAGATTCTGGAAAATGATCCCCAGGTCTTTTGGGACCTTTGGCAGAATTTTTCTGACCCTTTCCAGAAATTTCCGGGCTCTTTCCAGACGTTTCCAGAGAATTCCAGACATTATCCAGACTTATCCAGAGTTTTCCAGAGTTTTCCAAACTTCATCCAGATTAATCCAGACTTTATTCAGACTTGTTCAGACTGATACGGATTCTGGTAAATGATCCTCAGGTCTTTTGGGACCTTTTTCAGAATTTTTCCAACCCTTTCCAGAAATTTCCAAGTCTTTTCCAGACGTTTCCAGACTTTTCCAGACAATATCCAGACTTATCCAGAGTTTTACAGACTTAATCCAGATTTATCCAGACCTTATCCAGACTTGTACAGACTGATCCGGATTCTGGAGAATGATCCCCAGGTCTTTTGGGACCTTTGGCTGAATTTTTCCGACCCTTTCCAGAAATTTCCAGGCTCTTTCCAGACGTTTCCAGAGATTTCCAGACTTTTCCAGACTTCATCCAGATTTATCCAGACATTTTCCAGACTTGTTCCAGCTCACTTGGCTTGTTCCAGGTTCTTGTTGTGTGTTAATATAAGCGTGTTAAAAAAGTGTCATGTCGCTTTTTCGTTTCATCGAGTCTCACATCACTCCCAACGATTCTAAAGAAGTTTTCACTTCAAAATTAATGTTTTGATTTAAAAAAATAAAGTTAGCGGTCACAACTTGTTTCTGGGTCACCCTGTATACATGATATTACCTGTGATATTACCATCAGAAAAACGGCAACTGAAATCAAAAATCGATGTGTCCGAGGTTTTCATGAGCAATCTCACCAATGTTTATTATTTTTCTAGGTTTTCTGGAAGTTCTTTATGTAATAAACGAATAAACATCATCTCTCCCACCCTCGTAACTACGCCACCTCACTTTTTTTTTGTGTAAACATTTCAAGTATCTATTTTGCTGTATTTGTATAGGTAAATTTTATTATCTTTGTAATATATTTTTGTGTTTCCGCACATTTCATTCTCCACATTCTTATTTGTTAAATAAAAAGCACAATGTAAATTATAAAACTATTATTATAACTGTATACTTTTTAATTTAGATTAAATATGATAGGTGTATTAGTTTTGCCTCCACAAAAGCCCATAGGATTTATTATTCACCTTCCATGCAATTTGATCACACCCTTCCGTTATCTCGGAAATATTTGCCGTAACGTCGTCTATCGCGGTCCTACTTTGAACTCGGCGACAAAGAATGAATTTCGCGCGCTTGAATTTGTTGTTGGCCTCTTAAGTTTAAATTTTCAACTTTAGGTAATGTTGCTTGTTTTTCTGTTATACAATTTAACCTATCTAAAAGCGTAGTTCTAGAAGCATTAAGATATTTTTCTATTCCTTTAATATATTTGTTAATGCCTTCTAAATTTTCAGGCTCACTTTCGATTTCACCTAATTCTGCTTCTAAAGTCAAAAGCTTCTTTTCTAATAATTCAGTATCTACTAATAATTTATTAACCCTTTCTAAATTTTCGCGCCTTTCGATTGGTTCTTTACCAATATTCTCATAAAACTTTTTAGCATTCGTATACAACTCTATAAAATCATTCAACCTTACACTATCCATTAGTTTAAAAAATAATAAAATATTCAAAATAATAATTACACATAATACATATAAATCTAAACTTTTTGAACGGACATTTATTTCCCAGATATTATTCCTCAAGCTTGATTTCCTCTTGGTTTTCATAACTGAGACCAGCTACGCTACAGACCATCCAGCGTTGCGAACTAGCGGCATTGCGCCCACAACTAGCTCGTTCCCTCGAAGCCAGTTCCGGTTTCGGAGCAACTGGTTGAAGTTCCCGATGGGATCGATAAAATCGAACCAAAATCGTCAGGACGAGTTGGATGGAATAATTAATAAAATTTTAGACGAATTCTTTACTTCTTCTTATTTCTGTTCTTATCTTTCGCTCCAAATTCTTCTTTACTTGTTTATAGCAGTAGAAAAGAACTCCAAGTAATATAATGCTACCAATTAACAAGGCTGCAACTTCCAAAAGAGAAACACCATTAGTTTGCGATTGGGTAGTTGTAGATCCGCCACTATTTCCAGCTTGTGCAATTATAATCTCTTCTTTGACATCCTTTGATTGATTTTTCTCCATTTTTATTATTAAGTATTTTCCTTTTTGGTAAGAGTTCAGAACCACATCTTCTTATAATTATATATTTTTTTCTGGGTAGCACAACACACGCGGCGAGACGAAAGAAAGAAAAATTGTTTTTTTTCCAAACTAGTACTTGTTTGCCTATATGCCCATTTTATTCACGAGTTCGGTTGGCAGGGTCGCCATCTAATAGCTTAGGTTATCAGGACATTGTTGGGAAAATGATACGCTCAAGTCAACGGTTAAAAGTAGAATCTATTCAATATAATTTAACAATAATAAAGTTAAGTCTATTATTGAAACTGCAACATAGACATAATTACCCTAGTTACAATAAACCTTAAATCTAATGCAATATTTGCCAAGAAAGCTGTGCTGGGCATTTTGCAATAATATAAGTTATTGCTTCCAACTAACAAAATGATGACTCTTTAATATTAGGGTCAAGAACCTATAAAGTTGGATATTTTCCCATTACAAGGCTGTCAAAAAAAAGGGTTATGTAATGTGAATGAGTTTGTTTACAATTAAATTAATAATTAATTCAAAATTAATTTCTTTTTCCGAGATGCGTAACCTATCCACATACCTTCCTTAGGATGGCCATAACAATCTACCAAAGTTTCATCGTAATCGGATAAGTGGTGTAGGAGCGCATACCCGGATACCCCGCGTACATTGATTTTTATATATATAGATTCGATCTCTAAGCTAATTTTCAGCTCGTACATAAGGCAAATCAAATGAATTAATTAACTATCCAAACTAACACTTCCATTGTTTCAGGAAAAGTACCAAAGACATTTGTACCAATATTCTTCAATTCCTTTTCATTTAGGTCTCAACTGGTTAAGATACTCATGGGCAAACGGTATCGACACCATTCTCGCTGACGAGATGGGTCTGGGAAAAACAATTCAAACTATCGCATTCCTCTATTCCTTATACAAGGAAGGCCATTGCAAAGGACCTTTTTTGCTTTCGGTTCCGCTTTCGACTATAATCAATTGGGAGAGGGAGTTTGAAACTTGGGCTCCTGATTTTTACTGCGTTACTTATACCGGTAAGTGATTTTTCCTTTTGCAATCGTACTTTCATGAATAATTTATACCCTTTTCTACTAGGTTATAGGGATACTCGCGCAGTCATCCGCAATAACGAATTTACATTTGAGAAAGGCGCAGTCGCCAGATCCGGAAGGGCTTTCAAATTAAAATCCAGTTCTCTCAAATTTAACGTACTTTTAACAAGCTATGAACTTGTTTCAAACGACTACGCCTGCTTGGCCTCTATTGATTGGGCTGTACTAGTCGTTGATGAAGCTCATAGGCTTAAGAGTAACCAATCAAAATTCTTCAAGGTCTGTCAACCTTTTCGTTTTCAGATTTTTAATAAATATATTAATTTATTTTAGACCCTAAGCAGTTATAGAATTCGCTATAAATTACTCTTAACTGGCACTCCTTTACAAAACAGCTTGAAAGAATTGTTCCATCTCCTTAACTTTTTAAACTCTGAAAAATTCAACGACTTGCAAACCTTCCAAAACGAATTTGCAGATATTTCCAAAGAAGAGCAGGTAAGGGACAAACTTCATACATATTAAATAAAATATTATACATAAATATAATATTAGATCAGAAAATTGCAAGAAATGTTGGGCCCACACATGTTGCGTCGTCTAAAATGCGACGTATTCAAAGACATGCCTTCAAAATCAGAATTTATCGTGAGAGTAGATATGAGTCCTATGCAGAAGAAATACTATAAATATATTTTGACAAAAAACTTCGAAGCTCTAAGCCCCAAAGGGGTGGTTAAACAATCTTCTTTGCTTAACATTGTGATGCATTTGAAAAAATGCTGCAATCATCCTTATTTATTTCCTGCTGCCGCGGATGAGGCTCCAATGGGAGCTTTTGGACAACCTGATATTCAACATCTTACGAAAGGTAAATACAATATTCCAGTTGGAATAACAATTATTAATTCAATGAATTAATTTTAGCTGCAGGTAAGCTGGTCTTGCTGTCGAAAATGTTGAAAAAACTTAGAGAACAAGGACATCGTGTTTTGATCTTCTCTCAAATGACAAAAATGTTGGATATTTTGGAAGATTTCTTAGATGGAGAAGGATACAAGTATGAACGTATCGATGGGAATATAACTGGGAGTCAACGTCAAGAAGCCATAGATAGGTAAATTTGAATATGTAAATATATTATTTCATTTAGGTACCTACATATACTGTAATGACCCACAAAAGACGAGTTCGGTTACTTACAAAATTATTTAATTAATAAAATCTATTCAACGTTTTGGCTTGATACAAATGTAGGTATAATTTATTACGGGCGGCATCCTTTAAGACAGGAGGAGTTTGAAAACAGAGACAAAGTATCATGTATTGTACCTAAAAAATAATTCAGTTTCCGAAAATGTAGTAAACCGTAAATTTCGGTCTAACTCTAATAGAGTTACGATAATACGAAATTCTTGAATCGGAGTGAGAAAATTCTTGAATCGTGAAAACCAGTGAAGTTCCAACCGGCAAATTAATAATTTTCAACGCAAACAATACAGTCTGAGATCATGGTCAAATTGCAATTCGTAAAATAGAGTTTTCAATCGCGAACTTGAAGTAGTTATCAGAAATCGAGAATCGAGCAATAAATTCGGGATCGGTAGTAAATTTAATTACGCGTCGCGACGACAGGTAAAGACACCCCTAAGAAGAGAATTGAACATTGTATACTTAGGTAAGTACTTTTGTGGACTTAACTTGTGAACCTAAATTGTGGACTTAAATTGTGAACTTTAAATATTTGAACTATAACTTATCCATTGACTCTTAAGGTACGGTTTGTTAGGGCAGTGCGCGACGCACAACTCACATTCTGTCGAACGCCGCGCACGTGTGCTAAAATCAACCAAGTGTAAATTATGTAGACCGGTTTGTTGGCTGGTGAGTGCGACGTATTGCATCAGCAGTGTGTTCTGGCAGTGTGTCAACGTCATGTCAAATTCTTCCGACGTTTACGTTTTGAGTAATCAACGGTTGTAATATGGTTGTTATAGCAAAGTAGCGATTGATAATAAACAAAGGATTTGATGAAATATTTTTTATTTTTAACCATATATGAAATGTTGTCATTACTGACTTTTCAAAAATTTGAAAATGTCACATTTCTGTCTTTTCATTTTCCTCTTCATTTGCCGACCTCATTTGGTTGCCCCGAATTTTTTTTTTTTTTTTCAAGAAATTATGGTTAAAAATAAAATAGTATACAACCCTCGACGGGAAACTTCATTGCTGTCTCGAGGTTCAGTTTATCTCGACGCTACGCGTCTCGATAAACTATAAAACCTCTCGACCAGTAATGAAGCATTTCCCGTCTCGGATTGTAATATACTATTTTTTTTATTGATAACCTATTTCACTTATTTAAAGTACTCCTCAGCGTGTTTAAATCCAACATTCAAAAACGCGCGTGTTTTAAAGTTACCAATGACAACATCAACAACCAACAACCCGAGAAAGGTCTAAATGTCAACTTTTTAATTATTGATTTGTCAGGAGTAGGTACTTGTAGATAACGTCAAATAAAATATAACAAGGTCAAGCACGAATTAAGGATTCTAATTATTAGTAATTTATGATTTGATTGAACGTATACCAATAAAAAAAAATAGTGTAAAGTATTCGTGGATAACTGATTTTTAAAACACTTGCTCTATTTCGAGCACTCCGGCTGCGCCGTCGTGCTCGAAAAATCACGCGTGTTTTAAAGACCTTAATATCCACTTATACTTTAATATACTATGAAATTGAAGTTACTATTCTAGAGATAAGCTTTTAAGTCTTGGGGTGAAGAATGTTATTCACCTCATTATATAAAAAAAAATATATTAACCATTTAAACTACAGAGGATTTGTGTACTTATTTTCACCCTTAGTAATTACGAATCCAACCCTGTAGCCACTCTAGTAAAAATCTGTAATTAATTGGAAACCGTTCACCAACAATCAACATCTTAAACAGTAATACTAGAGCGGGCTCTACAATACTTTCTAAAATTGATTTTTGTTTTCAACTAATATAAAGCCTTTCTGAATTTGACCTTTTCGCTTAATTGGAGATTAAAGCATAGGTATATTGAGACTTTTTCCTTCCCTTCAAGTTGAACAAGTATAATCAATACAAATTGTGAAAGGTCTTCGAGGCCATCGTCGTTAGAGATTGGTTCTCGACGTTTCGCCATCACAAGTGGATGGCATCTTCAGGAGATGTTGATTGCTAAGCGACTGATTGAAGACTGAAGGTCTGCTCATTGCATTTGAACTTATGTTTATTGCAATATTTTTACAAATAATTTTATGCATAATGTTTTGACAATCATAAACTTAAAGATAAACTTAAAATCTAAACTAACATGGTGTGCACCTTAAGATATTTCAACTAAAAGTAAGTAAAATAAAATGGACAAGTTGTCTTGAAGAGACTTCCTAACCTAAATTAATAAATAAATGAAATGACGGTCGTGGTTCTGGTCCTCGTCGGGGGCTTCTGGTCCTGGATGGCTTTTGTTTCGGTAGAGTTAGGTGTGGGCTTCCTGCTTCGGACTTCCTCTCCAGGCGGGGCAAGTTGTCTTCGGCGTTTAACGTCCTGTGCTTGGCTAGCTTCCTGCTGCGTGCGTCCCTCTGTCAGAGGGGCACGCTGCAGTAAGCTTGGAAGGCTGGCTTCCTTCCTCAGATAGGCTTCCCAGGCTGTGAGGCTTTCTCTCTGGCAGTAGGTGTCCTGTTTGACTAGCTTCCTGCTGCGTGCGTCCATCTATCGGAGAGGCACGCTGCAGTAGGCTGGATGGCTGACTTTCTGCCTTAGATGGGCTTCTCAGGCTGGGAGGCTTTCTCTTTGGCAGTAGGCGTCCTATTTGACAAGCTTCCTAGTGCGTGCGTCCCTCCTCGGAGGGGCACGCTGCAGTAGGCTTGGAAGGCTGGCTTCCTGCCTCCGATAGGCTTCCCAGGCTTTCTCTTTGGCAGTAAGCGTTCTGTTTGACTTTTCAGGCAGAGAAGTCGTGGGCGGCTTCCTGCTGCGTATGATCCTCAATCCCTATTCGGTCCAGGATTGAGGATGGACGCAGCAATAGGCCTGTTATGGTGGCGGGTATGGTCTGGCTGGTGTGAGCTCTGGCATTCAAGAAGTAGTTGGTGTTCAGCTTCTCAATGTGTTCAGGTAGCGTCTCTAGTTCGTAGTCTCGATCAAGCGTCGTTTCTCATGTACAATGAGGCGTTTGCAATGATACAGAGAATTTTGTTCAGGCAGGCACTCAGTCTGTTCAGGTGAGTGGGTGCTGTGGTGGACCATGTCGGGGATCCATAAGTGAGCATGGGTCTGAGCATGGATTTGTACATCAGGAGTTTGTTCTGGATGGATAACTTGCTGCTCCTCCCGGATATGAGAGGGAAGAGCTTTCGTAGCGTTGACTCTGTCGTGGCTTTGGTGATCTTGATGTGTTGCCTCCAGGTGAGGCTCTGGTCGAAGTGAAGGCTAAGGTATTTGGCGTTGCTTTCTGCAGGGGATGTCGTGTCCCGATAATCTCACGTGTCCGTGAGGTCTGGTGCGGGTCGTTCTGGTCCAGCCGGAAGCGGAAAGTCGTACGTGTAGATGTTGAACAGCGTAGGAGCCAGCACGGAGCCTTGTGGAACTCGGGCGGTCATCGGTACTGTTCTGGAGTGGCTGTTGTTTATCCTCACTTGCAACGTTCGGTTGGTGATGAACGAGTGGATGATGCGAATGAGGTAGTCTGGCGTTTGTATCTCTAGCAGCTTATATAGGAGTCCAAGAATTGTTCTTGGGAGGCGAGGGATCCGTTATTGTCACGTTGTTGTGGACGATGGGCGGGAGAGGTTTCCTTCCGGATCTGGCCATCTTCCAGATGGATCCATCTTCTATGGCTAATTGTTCTAGCTTGTTCTGCCAGTTCTCATTGTAGATGTCATGAATGGCTTGTCGGATTTATAATGTCTTTCGACTCGCTTCTTTCTTCATGGCTGGATCCTCAGTTGTGGTCCACCTGCGAAGGATGCGGTTTTTGACGCGGGTCCTTTGGCGGAGTTTCCTGGGGATGTTGAGGTATCTCTCTGCTGGGTAGCTTTTAGTAGTTGACGCTTCATCGAGCGCTACCTGAATGTCATTTGTGAGCTTCGCAGCCGCTTGGTCGAGAGAGGCGGGACTGTCGATGTGGGCCTGTGGTTCTGACGCAACCAACTTCTGTGTGAAGGCGTTCCAGTTTGTGATGGTTTTGTCCTTGAATCCGGTGTGTTTCAGGGCCGGATTTCCAACTTTCAGGATGATTGGCAAGTGGTCTGATGTAAGCAGGTTGTGGTTCACAGTCAGTGTTTGTTGTTGATGGACTCCTCTGGTTAGGAAGATGTCCAGGAAGTCTGGCTGGGTTAAGGTCGATTCACACATAGCAGTAACGTGACAGTGCCTTGACCGGCATGTGATTCCACCGGCCGTAAACTCAGTGATTTCTATTCATATTGGTCAGTGTTTCATCAGTGCCGCGTCAGTATAGTTTATAGCCAAATGGAAATATTTCCAGATGAAGAACTTTTGGAGATCGCACTGGTTTTGAACGAAGACATGGAAGAGCAAGTAGAAGGAAAGGTAGAAAAACGACATTGGGTCCATCCTGCATGGAAAAAGAGAGGTACAAAAGGGGAATTTATAACATTAAACAAGGAACTAGTAGACGATGCAGATGCAGCAAAATTTTTTGAATACATGACACCCTCCACCTAGCATTCTAGGAATCAGAGTCCATGTAATTTGAGTTGCACAGGTCATACAGAACGGGATAACCACGGACCAACTTAATTCGTACGACCGTCAAAATCCAAAAATATCGTCAAGAACTAATATAACTATCACGTTACGGTGCCGGCGACAGCACTGTTTGCACTGTCACGGTCGCACGTCGGGCAGTTGGGAATAGATACCATCAAACTCCTACGAGAATAATTTTGACTTCGCCGGTGGAATCACGTGCCGGTAACGGCACTGTCACTGCTATGTGTGAAAATCGACCTTTACACGGTCCCCTACGAAGGTAGGGCCGACTGGCGACAAGATATTGTACAGGCACAGATCACCTAATACAGATGCGTAAGTACGTATACTTGCTGTCGACGATATTCTGTGACGAAGCCGGGCTGCCAACACCCCCACGCGTAGATACAGATCGCCCGCGTCAGGACAATTAACGTGGCCGAGTGCGTGAGCATGTTCCAGCCTGTGTGTTTACATATTTTTACGGGTAGAAAAAAATATTTTTTTGCTGTTTGGGAAGCAATTAAAGAAATAATATTATATTGTTGAGCTTCCTCATTTATATAATAAATATGTTCAAAATACATTGATGTGGCATTGGTGCGGCCAGCCTATGTCTATCAAATTAATCTTGAACCACGAATTCGCCGCTCTTTCGCATCTGTATGTAGGTAATCTGTGGTACAGGTATCTTGCTGCGGCGTTGTCAATGGTTCTGCCTTTGAACTGGGTTGTCAGGTTGCCCCATCGGAAGTGCTTCGCGTTGAAGTCAGCTCTGGCGATGACTGCTGTGTCATCTGGAAAGAGGACTCCTACTTCCGCTTCGTTGAGGATCTGTTTTGGCTTAATGTACACCGAGAAGAGGTTGACTTTTTCTGCGGGTGTATTTTGATCTGGATTGCGGTCGACTCAATTTTAATGGATTGAGCCGACTGGATCTGATAGTGTTTGATGTTTCTTTTCCTGGCGCATCTGTGCGGTCCGTTCTGTAAGTGAAGTAGTTTGGGACATTGAACATGTCTCGGTGCTTCCAGAAGGTTTCCTGGAGCAGTACAATGTCAATGTGGTGATCCTCTAGGAAGTGTAGGAGTTCTGGCTTCTTGTTGTGGGCGCAGTTGCCGTTTCGAAACATGATGCGCAGTGCGCAGGAATTGCGGTATGGTTTCTACAATCATTGCGGGCTGCTTTGTTTGTTGTTCCTGGCAGGAGCTGTTTTACGAGGGGTGTCAGCGCGCTCGTCAACTGCGTGAGTTGTTCTTGGTAGCTCCTGTTCATGGTCTCTATGGCACTAGAGATTTGACGGAACGTCTCGGGAAGGCTGTCGCTGATTGGTGCCGCCGCGGGTCTGGGGGCCGCGCCGGCTCTGGGGTTCGTGTCAGCGCTGGGACCCGCGGTCGGGGTTGTTCTGGCTCTTTCGGCCCAGGAGAAGGGTCTTCACTGGGCTGGTCGCTTGTGTTTGGGATGGCTTGGGCAGCCTTCCCATGAGGCCGGGTGGGCCCCCTAACAGGGGGCTTCTTTGGGCGTTTTTGTGCAGTTCTCGGTTTTGTGGTCGCGGGCGCACTTGACGCATTTTGAGGCGGCCTTGCAATTGAAAGAGGCATGTCCGTATAGTTGACAGTTATGGCACTGTCCTGATCGGTCCTTCGTTTTCTGGGCTTCTTAACGGATTGTGATTCCGTTTAGCGTCACAATGTTGTTGTATATGTCCTTCTCGTTTCTGGGCAGGAACACTAGGACGTATCGCATGGGGCGCCCCTTTTTTGCCCCGGTCTTCCAGTACCACCTGGTGACGGCGACCGGGTGGTATCCCAGGTTTTCTAGCTCGGATTTGATGCAAGCCAGGACTCCCTTGAAAACCACATGGAGTAGTTTGTTTTCAGAGAGCTGGAACGTATGATATGGCAGTTTACTAATTTCTAAATGACTCACCAGGTTTCTGTAGTCTGTTGAAGTGGTAGGAAGTATGCGTACTCCCTCTTCGATAGCAAATTTGGCGACTTGGTCGTACTTGGCTCTGTCCCTGAGTATGATTGGGGGCACCTTTTTGGAGTCGGGCTGCTGTGTAGTGGCTTCTTCTGTTGCTGTTGTTTCTGTTTCTGGGGCCGGAACCCCTCTGGCGATGTTGGTCCAGTATACTTACCGGAGACTTGGGTATCTCCTTTTAGACTGTGAGATAGGCCCTATCTCAGGGTCTATTTCTTCACTGCTGGTTTCATAGCTGGCTTCACTGATGGTTTCGGTTTCTGACTGGATGGTCCTGGCATGGCAATGGATTGGGGCAGGGTGGCTTAGCGGCGCTTGGTCAACACGTGCCTGGGATCTTCTCTCTCTCTCTTGCGTATTTTTCTTTGCTTCTTGCTGGAAATGAAAGAATTTTTAGTAGGATCAGAGTATTCCCCAGACCGTTCCTTGCGCTTCAAGCGTCGGCGGGTAACGGTCGTGAAACCGTCGTCTTCGTCAAGGATGGCAGAGTCGGAAATTGTTTCCATGGATTGGACCGTGCTCTAAGACGCGTCGCTGTCCGCGTCCGATTCCCCTTCTTCGGTCGAATGCTCGGATTCAGAAGGGAGCTTGGCGGCGGCCACGGCGTCCCGGACAGCACGGTTTTCCTCCATGAGAATAAACATGTCGTACGCTTGCTGGTTGCAGAGTGTCCGCATGGCTTCCATCTCCGCCCTCACCTTGACGAAGTCTTCGGTGGTGATAACTTAAGTGGTTGCTGTGTCTTCCATGGCGTGGCGCTGAACTGGGTTCACGTTCACTAGTAGGTCGAACTCGGAACTTGGCTGGCTGCTTGCTGTCGCAAACTAAATTCGGAGTCGAGTATTCTCTAGAGTAAACGGTGTTCACTGTTCGAGAGCTCAAGTCAGAATGAATGACTGAATACGAAGGTCTGCTCGTCGCGGGCGCAGGTTATATACGCTGTGTGGCTGGGCGGGGCTCATTTTGGTTCTGTTTGTTTGGTCACATTTCCGAGAATTTTCATTTTTTTTGTGTTTGTACGGCAGCTTTGTATTTTTAAGAATCGGTACCCATGTTATGTTGATTTTAAGTGTTTTTAATTTTTCTATGTGTCCAAGGCGGCAATTGGCCTTGTGTTCTTTGATTCTGGTGTTGACTGACCTTTTAGTTGTTCCAATGTAGAGACTTGCACAGGTACAGGGAATGCAATATATACCTGTAGAGCTCAGTGGATCTCTCTCATCCTTGGCAGATCTGAGGTGGTTCTCGATCTTCTTAAATGGTTTGAAAATAGTTGTGATGTTAAATTTCCCCAGAATTCGACCGACTCTATCTGTGACTTGAGGTACATAGGGTAGAAAGACGAGGAAATACGGAGAGAATGTTCACAGATTTTGAGGAAAGCAAATTCCCTAAAATCCAACATTACAAGGAAGGAAGCCCGTGCCATCAAAGAGCTTAACAAAGACGAGAACATTCTGATATTAGCCGTAGACAAAGGAAACGCGACTATAGTTATAAACAAAACTGACTATAACAGAAAGATGGCCGAACTTCTAGAACCCTCAACTTACAAAAAGCTGAGAAGAGATCCAACACAATCCGCAATCAAAAAAGTAAACCACCTGATTAAGATTTCTTCTTTGGAGAAACCAATCAAGAAGAGCATATGCCAAAGTGAAGCCTCAATACCAAGATTATACGGATTACCTAAAATCCATAAGAAAGATGTACCTCTTCGTCCCATTGTCAGTACCATAAGCTCACCGACATACACCCTCGCAAAACATCTGGCCGCGATCTTGCAAACGCACATCGGAATGACATAGAGAAGATCAGACACTTCGAACTGGACGAAAACGACATTCTAGTAAGCTTTGATGTTGTCTTCCTCCACCAAAGTACCACTGTGTGAAGGAATGAGTGAGGTCGATCGCTAACTTCTTTATGGAAAAACTATAAAAGAAAGCCTTGGACAGCGCACGTTTAAAACCAAAAGCCTGGTATCGATATGTAGATGACACTTTTGTGGTTTGGCCCTATGGTAGGGATAGCCTGAACGATTTCCTCGCTCATATTAACAGCATACCAATTTACCATGGAACTAGAGGACAATTAACGGAAAACTGACTTTTCTCGATGTCCTAGTCACGAGAAAACAGAGACAACTAGGACACACTACGTACAGAAAACCTACACACAGGAATCGTGACCTACATAACAGTTCTAACCATAATCCATGTCAACGAAAAGGAGTAATAAAAACTTTGGTAGAGATCTAGAAAAATCTGCGAGCCCGAACACCTAAACGAGGAACTCAGTCATCTTAAAGGCGCTCTTATATCAAATGGATTCGCCGAAAATGACATACAATGTATACGACCAAAGCCTAGTATCAGAAACGTTAAACGAGAAAGCCGTGACATCATTTCATTTCAAAAGCCTTTCTACCTTATGTACCTCAAGTCACAAATAGAATCGGCCAAATTCAGGGAAAATAAAACATCAAAACTATTTTCAAACCATATCCAATAAGATAGAGAACTATCTCAGATCTGCCAAGGATAAGAGAGATCCACTGAGCTCTACAGGTATATATCGCATTCCCTGCATCTGTGGAAGTGTCTACATTGGAACAACTAAACGGTCAGTCAACACCAGAATCAAAGAACACAAGGCCAATTGCCACCCTGGACGCACAGAAAAATCAGCGGTCGCAAAACAAACACTAAACAATGAAAACCACAGAATAAAATTTGAGGACATCCAAGTTTTATGCACCACTGCTTCATATTATCCTAGGTTCTATAGAGAGGCGATTCAAATTCACAAACACCAACAAAATTTTAACAGATCTGAGGAAACGCTTAAAATCAACAGAACATGGGTACCGATTCTTAAAAATACAACAAAGCTGTCATACAAATAGAAGGAAAATGAAAATGAATCTCGGAAATGTGACTAAACAAACAGAACCGAAATAAGCTCCGTCCACCCACACAGCGTATATAACCTGCGCCCGCGACGGGCAGACCTTCAGTCTTCAATCAGTTCAATCAGTCGCTTACCAAGCAACATTTCCTGAAGATGCCATCCGCTCGTGATGGCGAAACGTCGAGAACCGATCTCCAACGACGACGGCCGAACAGCCTGAAAACCCACTCATCATCAAGTATAATTAATGTTTTGACTTTCTTTAGATTCAACGTTCCTGGTGCCGTGCAGTCTGTTTTCCTATTGTCCACCAGAGCTGGAGGTTTGGGTATCAATTTGGCCACTGCCGATACCGTAATCATTTACGATTCTGATTGGAATCCGCACAACGACATTCAAGCTTTTTCTCGCGCGCATCGTATCGGTCAAACCAACAAAGTGATGATATATCGCTTTGTAACGCGTAATAGTGTAGAAGAACGAATAACGCAAGTTGCCAAAAGAAAAATGATGTTGACCCATTTGGTTGTACGCCCCGACATGGGTGGTAAACGTGCTAGTTTCACCAAACAAGAATTGGATGATATTTTGAGATTTGGTACCAAAGACTTATTCAAAGAAGAAGAAGGCAAAGAGGAAGAGGCGATTCATTATGACGACAAAGCAGTGGCAGACCTTCTGGATCGAAGCAAAGATGGTATCGAGCAAAAAGAATCTTGGGCCAACGAATATTTAAGTTCCTTTAAAGTTGCAAGTTATGCTACCAAAGAAGGTGAAAATGAGGACGATATTAATACTGATTTATTAAAACATGAATCTGAAAATACTGATCCTGCTCACTGGATTAAGTTGCTTAGACCTAATTATGAACAGGTAAAATAACGGGTGTTTTTTAGAGAGTACCTATTCTTTTACAATAATGCTTTTTTTAGGAACAAAAAGATAATTCCCAGACTTTAGGCAAAGGAAAACGTGTACGTAAGCTAGTTAATTACAAAATTGGCAGAACGGCTACCGAACCTGTTGACGATAGTAGTTGGCAGGGCAATTTGTCTGACAGTAACAGGTAATCCATATTTGTTTATTATTTATTTAGAAAAGTGCTTTATTGTCCAAGAAAATAATTGAGTAATCACTCATATCTTAACCTACTTATATCTTAATTATAACTAAGCATTTGTCTATCTTACAGTTTACATTTCATCAGAGTAATAACCCTTGATAATTTTATTGTTATACAATTTGTTATTGTATCTTAGAAAAAATCTAGCTCATATGTAATCATTGTTTCGCTCCACACACACATGCTTCGAATATAATTCTTTCCAGCAATGGTATCAGTTACCTGACATCTGGGTTGGTCATAAAACGTGGGTATTCAAAAGATTATCCTTGACTTATCTAGGAAAACATAAATTTTGCCTATATATTTGTCAATTTCGGGTTACAGCAAAAATAAAATTCGATACTTTTTTGGTTTTCAAGTGATTTTTACCCTCGAACAGATTAGGTCGTTCGCAGAACTCTATGTGTTTGTATATCCCATTAGGGGCACATTTTAACTTATCTGTCAAAATAAAACTGTTTCCCACGAAATATGAACTTGAATCGAGTTTATTATTGATTTTGTTACACCTGATCTTGAGATCAATGCGTTTGTGAATCCTGATATCATGGTAGACGAAATAATTTCTTAATACACTAAAATAATGATAGGATATTGTCAATCAGGCGGGTAGCGTAGGCTTGCTGGTGATTCAGAAAAGAGCAAGCAGTCTCAAGAATAAATAAGTAAGAATAGGTTTACCGATGCAAAAGGGCCTACAATGTGTTTTTGAATATACTGGGTGTTCCACTGTGATAGCCTCATAACTTTTTTGTTTGTGTATGAAAATAATTGATTTCTGTGTAACTTTCTAGAGGTACTGTTCCGAACAGAATCTAATAATGAATTCATGTTTAGAAAAAAATTAACAATTTGGCCCCGATTTGGAGATATTGACCAAAGTCTTATTTTTTTTTTCAGTAGAACACCCTATACAGGATGATATGCGTAGCTCGTGCATCAGCTTGCAGGTGGATTAGATGTTATTTCTACTAATCCAACTGCAAACTGGGAAACTTCTAATGCACGGGCTACATAAATCACCCTGTATATTAATAACTCATTGGATAGCTCTGTTTGTGCGATATCAGGCTATAGGTTTATTTCTAACAGTTTTCGAGACAAAAAACTATATCTGTTTTTGACATGAGAAACAATGTGTAAGAAAGAGACCTTTCTCATTGCTCTCATTGGTTTTTTTGTAACACATTGGTTCTTATGACAAAAACATATTTTAATTTTATTCTATCAAACTATTAAAAATAAACCTATCAAACCTTGTATCATTGAAATTAGTAATAGCAGAGCTATTGAATGACTTATTAATCTACAGGGTGTTATATTGCAAAAGTCCAACGTTGGGCAATATCTTTGAATCGGGGCCAACTAGCTAAAGACTGAGAACTTCATTGGATTCTGCTTGAAAAAGAACCTTTAGCTTTAGAAAGTTTCCACAGAAATCAATTATTTATATAAACACAAAAATTATGAACCTATGAAACCGCCAAACTTACCCAAACCTAAGATGGGATTCTAGCGCATAATAATTGACACTACGTGCAACAACCAAGTTTCCAGGAGGCTGTGCGCACAGAAAATTATCCTGTCGCCAGTTTCTTGTTCAGTCACATGATATGTTCCCTATGGTGGTAGAATTTTAGGTTCTCATCTATAAGCAATTAATTTAAAGCCAGCAATGTGAATTTTGGACATATTCGAACAGAGCTGATTTGTATCACACGGTAGTGATGTGAGTCGAGAATATTCCCAGGCGAATATTCGCGAACATTGGGAAATTCCCGAGAATATTCGCCGATAAAAAAGGGAAACGTTCTCCTGAATGAGAATATTCCCAGAAAATTTCAATCAAAAACTCTCAAAAGAATATTTCCGAGAACTTTCGAGAATATTTCCAAGAACTTTCCACAAGAATTTTATAAAAATGCGAAAATATTGCGAATACAAGGTTTCAGTGACGTCATTTCAATTTTTATGGATTTATGTATGTGGATGACGTAGCCCTGTCCAACTGTCTTAACGGAAACGCTGATCCGATTCACTCACTCACCAGCTGATGTACCTACAGTTTGTATGTTTTTTAAAATAATGTTTATTGAAGAAAGATAAAAAATAAAGAGATGAGAGATTGGGTTAATCGGATCAGCTTTTCTTTTAATGCCTTATTCAACTGTCCATAAAAATGTTATTACTACATAGTTTCATTTTTAGCTGATCTTACAGAAAAAAATAAGTGTTTTTCTTGGTTTATAGTCAGTATACACTACAATAATAGGTGAATAAAGCTTACTACGATTTGTCTGATTTAGCTACAAATTAAAAAAAAAAAAAACAATATTTCCATAAGTTCTCGAAAACTTCCGAGAATGTTTCGAGAATTTTACATCATTCACACCAGTGCTCAATCTTCCAGAGATTTTATACAATGTCCTACAGTAGTTGAGACAGTGGTATATTGGTATATTATCCACGAACAATGTAAAGTATTCAGTTATCTTGAGTAAAGTCATATCGTTTATATAGACCAAAAACAGAATAGCGCTTTCCAGACGATACGCCGTCAACGTTAACAGACTGTTCACGATCGCAAAGGTAGCTTCGGAACCACATTAATTACTATCAGTTATATCCCTCGAAACCCATAGGCATGGAGTTTCCGCAATAATACCTCGTGACTGACACAATAAGACCAATAAGTAAAAGAAGGAGTCTCACGTCCTATTTTACTGTGGAAAACTCAATAGAAAATCCAAATGAAGTAAGGGCTGGGACTCTGTAACGAATAGATATATTTTCTCTATATTGTTACCCGCAAAACGCGATTGAAAAGTAAATAATAAAATTTGAGGAAGTGAGACAGTGAATGGGTAACTAAAACAAAAACGTAGAAAGAGAGAGTTGGTCGGTGGCTAAAATCTAGAAACAGGACTTCGTGTGAAGGGTTGCCGACTAGCTTCCAATGCGGAGAGGGGTGTGGATCAATTAAATAATTAAATATAGAGTGCCACCTGCTTTTCCCTGCAGTACCTACATGTGTGACATTAAGTCAACCGATAAAACGAAAGCAGGAAACTTCTACGGACCTATAGCAGCACAACCTGAAATATAAAAGTAAGCAAGAAGGAAAGGCAGAAGTCAGAAGTGAGACGCTTTGCTACAATCAGGTACGGGTTTTTAATTGGAACCAGAACAGATTTGACTCCGAAACGCTGAAAATTAATAACACTGGAACCAGAACAAGAACAAATTAAATCGATTAGGAGTATTTAACCTTACGTTCTAAAAATAGTATTTACAATAATTTAGCTTAACTTGAGTCCCTAAATAAAGAAGTAAAGAGTATTGTGTAACACTTATAACAGCAATAATACCTGAAATGTAAATTAATAGACAAGCTTACTAAATGCAGTACCTTCGTAAATGGCTATTTAACCCCAGAGTGTACAGGTATTTTCCTGTATTCAGTGCAGCATGTATTTATGGGATATAGATCATTAATTAAAGTTGAAGTAACAATACGTAACCTGAAGGGCGAATTCGAATTTAATATTATGGAATAATATAGGTAATATAGATAAATAATTAAAATTGAAGTAACAATACATAACCTGAGGGGCAAGTTTCATATAATATGGGTAATATAGATAATTAATTAAAATTAAAATAACAACACATAACCTGAAGGGCAAATTTAATTAGGCATTCCAACGACCTATCAAAACTATTCCAAAATGGCGTCCGGAGCGAAAGTTCATTATTCCTTATATGACAGTACAGAATTTAAAGCTTTTTAAAGTGCATTGTGTGGTTGTTTTGTGACTAAACCCTATTTATTTTTTTATTTTATTGACTTCATAAGGGTTTTTTCTAATTAAAAATGCCACAAAGGTGTCTTGTAGTTGATTTTGGAAGGCATTTCAACAAGGATGATGTCAGGTTGTTTTCAGTCCCCACCGTTTTAAACTTTTCCAATTAAAACGTCAAAATTATTCAGTACTTACCACTGTTTTTGCAGCAGGAATAAAGCAATACTCGAAATACTTGTAAGAATCTAAGCTTTTGTAGGCCTTCATTTGCTCATTGATGTGAAAACTTTGGGTCAAAATGTCAAGTGGACATTTTTTCAAACTAACCGTTCGCCCACATCTCGATTTTCCAGCATTTAAATCTTTAAATATTCACTCTGCATCTCGAAAATTATATTATTACAAAGTTAACTGTAATTACCTTGAAAATATTCCAAATAAACAAGATAAACAAACAAACGTCAAATTTTCCACAGTCGCCATAATGAAAAATAACGTGGTTTGGGTTAGCCTAATATTGTAGAAGACTGCGTCGCTGTGGTGATTTATTCCAACAAGGGGTTGGTAAGGTTTGATAGGTTCCAGATATTAGGACAATAAACACAACACACTTATCAAACCTGAGTAGTCCCTAATCCCTTGAGGGGAATCTGAAGGATTGGATTGATATCTTCCAGTGTTTCCGATGGCCTGGCACTGGATCAGGGTCGCGACAAGAAGCAACTGGCGCTGGGCACTGAAGTTCAGTAATTAGAAGTCACTAAAGCTTTGTCTAGCGGAGGCTGAAGACAGGAGGTACGACTTGAAATATACAGTGAACTTAACGTTTAACTCTTTACTCAAGGTTAAGAACTGAAGCGTGACGACTAAAGGCCTGAAACAAATGGAGGTTATGAGACTGGGCGTGGAGCGATAGGTAGGTATGTCAATTATTCGGAATTTAACCATATAATTAACAGAAAACCATGCTTATACATAGGCGATAGAGAAACACAGAGGAGACTAATAAGAAAAACCACTTACCAAAATACTTTGGCCTTTAGGAACAAACAATTGATCACGTTGCTCTTTTTCGGCTCATAAATAAATCCGCGCAAGGCGCTCAGGTGCTAAAATAACGGATTAGCTAC